ATTAAGATAATACGATGGAGAGCAAAATTAATACAAAATAAGTTAGGTTATTTATGTTAAAATATAAAATAATGTATTTTTACCTTATTTATGAAAATAAGTAGAAAGTATGGTATATTTTTAGAAAGCTCAGAATAAGACAAAAATAAAATAAAAAATAATATACATGGTGTCCTATTAAAAACATAAGTTTGATTCTTATTTCAAAAATTACAGCTCTCAGCGAAAAATTAGTTATGTCACTGTATTCTACAGGAAGCACATAGCAGCTACGTAACTCACAGTTTTCACCTTTTCGATAAGTTATAGGATAACCGAGATACAAGGGGAGTCGAAAAATGCAAAAATTTCAAATTCGCCCTGTATTTCAAGAACAAAGGAAGTTAGGACAAATAAGTGTGTAGCATCTTTAGTTTCAGGAGTAAAGTAAGAGTGATGTGAAAACAGCATCTTTATATGTCTACTCATAAACGAGAAACACCATAAAACACACGAAAATGGGGCACCGTGAACAAGGACTTACTTATGATGTATACCGGGTGCGTCTTAAAAGTGGCTCACCCCTATAACTTTATTATTTTTTCAGATAAATAAACGAGATTTGGTATATAAGTATATGACATAAATTAGGATTAATTGATGTTATCAATTGTTTTCGGTCACTTCCAGTTTCACCGGAAATAACTACAACTTTTGATTTTTAAATGGCACCCCCGGTATATTTCTACTTTATTGGATAGAAGATTACATTCTGAATAGAATGATACCACACACTTGGTGTTTCGAGTCAAATTGTCGTTATGAACCGCATGTTATAATTTCAAATAAACCATATGTGAAAATGTCAAAAGTTGACATATTATATCTTCTATTGAGAGTGTCATTTTCTATCGACTAAAGTAAAAAAAAATACCTACTTAAGGAATCATTTAAAAATCAAAACTTGCAGTCATTTCCGGTGAAACAGGAAGTGACCAAAAACAATTGAATACGTCAATCAATCCTAATTTATGTCATATACTAACATACTAATGCCCACTTGCACCGTTTGTATAAACTTTATTTAAAGGCTAAACAGTGGTTAACTATATGATATTTTATAGTTAATCACTGTTTAGCCTTTAAAGTTTATAGAAACGGTGCAAGTGGGCATTAATCTAGTTTTTTTTATTTGAATCTATACTAATATATAAAATGTGACTGACATACTGATTAATCACGATCCTGCTCAAACCAATCAACGTAAGAAGCTCAATTTTGGCATACAGGTTAATTCTAGGATGTAGAGGTTCGATAAGAAGGGATTTTTCGAAATTCCAGTTCCAAGAGGGTGAAACCACCCCTCAAATATTACAATATTTTTTATTTAAAAAACGGTCAAGTTTCCGAGAAAACGCTTAAACACGTATATTTTATTTTGTTTTTTTATATATTTTAAGATTTTTTAAAAATGTATACAGGGTGTTTCGAAAAATCTGGTCATTGATTAATCACGATCCTGCTTAAAGCGCCTGACGTAAAAAGCTGATTTTTGGAAACTCGAATTCTAAGAGGGTGAAACTATCCCTCAAATATTAAAATATTTTTTATTTAAAAACCGGTGAGTTTTTCGGAAAAACTCTTAAACACGTATATTTTATTTTGTTGTTTTACATATTTTAAGATTTTTTATAAATTTATACAGGGTGTTACATAAAATATGACCATTGAGTAATCACGATTCTGCTTAAACTGCTTGACGTTTAAAGCTGATTTTTGGCAAACGGATTGACTGTGGGGTGCAGAGGTTCGATAAGGAGGGGTTTCTCGAATCTCAAATTCCAAGAGGGTGAAAACGCCCCTCAAATATTACAATATTTGTTATTTAAAAAACGGTTAGTCTTTCGGGAAAACGCTTGGACAAGCATAATTTATTTGGTTTTTTTACATATTTTGAAATTTTTTAAAAAATCATACAGGGTGTTCCAAAAATTTGGGTAGTTTCTTAACCACGATTCTGCTTAAACTGCTTGACGTAAAAAGCTTATTTTTGGCAAACGGATTTTTCGAAAGTCAAATTCCAACGAGATGAAACTACCCCTCAAATATTACCAAGTTATATAATAATATCGCCATATTGTTTTTTTCTCAAGCTGACATAAATGTGAGAAAATTTTATCCAGTTTGTATGTTAATGGAAATTCTTGCTTTGCTTTATCATCACCATTACAAATGATTAAATCGACGCGAACGAAGTCGCTGGTACACGCTAGTAAATAAATAAGTTAGAAGAGTGAAACACTTTTGAGACGCACCCGGTATTATTGGTTAGTTACGATGACAACTATTCTTTATTAAAAATATCTAATTAACCAAAACGTAATGTGGTCACAAGTTAATAGAATATTAAACTAACGAATCTTTTAATAAACGAAAAAAAAAATATATATATACCGGAACCGTAGAGAGATAGGGTCGAATAGACCTTAAAGGAAAAACCACAAAATTAATATAAATTGAGCATTGTTAGGCGTTTAGTTGGTGAAACGTCACGTCAATAGCCACGGCATATTGCCGGTTGCTCGTTGACGAACGAACATATTGTGGCGCTCAGATCGAAATTACGGCATATGTTCGAATTTGTGGTCGGCCAGACCAGGAAAAAATGCTTTGTTCTCGTTCGATATGTTATTACAATCATATTAGTGCGTAAAATTTGAAAAAGTGCCGGTCATGGTAGGCAAGAACGGGAAGTAACAGCTCGGGTGCTTTAAAAAATAAGGTCGTTTTTAGATGTTCGGAAATATAGTATTTACTAACTGTATATTTTAATATTTTGTTTAAATTCACAGCTCTTTCATCCTATCCTGTATAGTATATTGTTTTATAAAAGAAATCTACTAAATTGAAGAGATATTAATGAAACAACATAAAAATATTGCAATCATCTACTGTAATCATCCACTAAAGTCAGAAGTTTAAATCGTTTTATGATTTAAATACTTTTATCGATTTAAATCATTTGATCTTAAATCTTTTTACGGAAAATGATTTTTGATTTAAGATTTAAATCTTTATACAAATTATCTTTGATTTTGAACTTAAAAATATGATTTAAATGTTTTAGAGAGGATTTAAATACTAACAAAATTGTTTAAATACTTTCGAAAGTATTTAAATCTCTTAGAAGTGATTTAAATCTTTACCGAAGATTTAGATTTTTTCCGATTGATTTAAATTTATTAAGTGGATACTGTAGTGGAACATTTGTTCTGTTTGTATCCCAAATATTAATAAACAAATAAATAAAAAAAAATTAGAGACGGTCTAAATACTATTAAAAATAGCTTCAGTATTTCAAAAATAATAATAACAGCTCCCGTATATAGCGTTCAACGCCTTGGGAGTAGCAAGGTAAAGCTTGCCATACTAGAGCCGTTCGGTATACAAGGAAGGTAATGTGGCTAACACTACGCTTCAACCGCCTATTATTACCTCAGGATTGTGAATCCCATGCAAGTACTCATTTAAGGCTGAGTCGACCTAGGTACCAAAACAATTTTTAGAGAGCCTGTACCTCTACGCCACCGAGCACCTTTTTTTTCAAAAATGCCTGCTTAATTCTTCAAGAAAGTCAAGTGAAAAATATGATAATTAACGCTGCAAAGAAATTTATAACTGCTGAAGATAATATCGAACCAAAACCAATAGATGTTCAAAATGAGGTAGATGGTTTTTTGAGCTAACAGCCGTTGCAAACATCTATGAGCAAAATGAACACTAAAATTCTGCTTTGAACGAATTTGGAATTATCTACAATTGCTGTAGTACCTTCAGAATCCTTCCAATGGCATGGACATTTTACACAAATATAGTGTGTTGAAATGTTTTTAAAATGCAATTGTATGTTACCTTCCTCTGCTCTATTGGAGAGCTCCTCTGCTCTACGTTCTCTTATGCCACATTTATAAATTCACCTCGTCGACACGCATTAACTGACAAAAACTTTAAGAACCTTGTTTTGTTAAAATATCTAAATATTTTCTCATTGACAAAAGTATCTTTTATTTAACTCATTTGTCCAAATGAAATGTATTTTTGATCTTTGATGTAAATCGTTTTTTAAATGATTTCAGCTCTGACTACAGTCAATGATAATGATGCGCTGGACTGGTCTTGGTCTTTCTCAAAAAGCATTAGACCATCATTAGATCTGCATGACCAAGACCCAGCTTTTTTATTTACATCTCATCTTTCATAGATAAGAATTAAAACAAAAATAACGATATTTTTATTTACTTACCCCTATTTATTAAATAAAAAAATCAATAAAAGGATTTCCACAAAACTATTGCCTTGCAAACATGTGATATATGGTATATAGCTGTCAAAAACAAGGCATATTCGTATAAAATCTCATTTATCGAAACTTGCCAATAATACCATTCCATTCGGAAAAGGTAAAAGCCTCAACCATTTATTAACTTAACCTATCTTTTCTGAATCATCCAAATAAATAAATATGATGTAGAAAATTAGTTATTTGTTCAAAATTGCTGTATCAATAAAAACATAATTTCTTGATAAAATGGCAATATAGGTAGTAGGTTAAATCTACAAGAAACAAAACCCAGAAAAGATCCAGTGGTTCTCAAAATTTAACCAAAAAATATTTTTTTTTAGTTTTTAAAATAAAATAACTCCATTATTTTGAACTTATTTGGAAAACCATAAAATCCTCTAGCAAAAATCTATATATTTCAAAAGACCCAGACTATGACTGGACTCTACAAGATCAAGACCAAAAAAGTCTTGTCTTTGTCTTGCATTTATTCATCACTATTCAAAGAATATACAACTCAAATAATTTACTTGCTTTGCAATTCTAGTAACCCATAAAACTCATATGTATTTCAACAAATTTAATATGTACTTATTGGAAACTCAATAACTGAAAATGTATGAACGCCTATTAAATAAAATTATAAAATAAAACTAATAGGTATTTTTCCTTGTTTCAGAACGAAATGGAAACGACAAACAGCCGTAGGCCTAGAACTGCTCGCCGAAGCCGGCAACTACGCAGCCTTCCAGCGCATCTACGGCGGTCCCCCCTACGGTTGCTGGTATCCCCCTCAAAACGCCGGCCCGGCAGCTGCCCCCACCGCTGCAGACCTCTACTACAGACAAGCAGCGGCCGCTGCTGCAGCCACCCTACAGAAACCCTTGCCCTACAGACTATACCCGCCTGGCATGGGCATGGGCATGGCCGGTCCAAGCGCCCATTTGGGATCACTAGCAGCCAGCAGTTCCTTAAGTACCTTATCTAGCTACTATTCAAACCCCGCTTCAGAAGGTCCATCACCCAGATCACCTAGTCCAGACGCACCGCTCGATCCCGGTTCTCCCGGATCACCTGGTCCCGGTAGGAGATCACCTTCCGACGATGAGGATACGATTCATGTGTAAATATCGCCCAGTGGAAGATGTATTTGTAATATTGTGATATAAAATGAGAAAGTGTACTGTAAAAAGGACTTGTTAATTTATTTTCTGCTTTTAAGTGTCGTGTAGGATCAAAGAGACAGAAATAAAATGTTTCCTTGTTTCTTTACTGTATTATTAGAGATTGAGAGGTACCTAAGAATGCGCTGGCCTTGTAAGATGGAAGGATTCAAAGAACAAGATTTCTTACTAAATATACTACATTTCCAGAGTTTAGAGAATAAAATACTCGACTTGAAACTATAATGTTTGAAAGCTAATTTCACTATGGAAAAAATATAAATTGTATTTCAAAATCTCTTAGAATCCTTCTGTGTACTTAAAAATAACATTCCAGATCCGAATATAGTTCGGATCCTTGTATTATATAACTAATGATGTACATTGTCTGTTCCTTGTTTGAACAATATTTTTGTTTATATCAGTTTGATTGCACCCAGAACGATGTAATCGTCTTTTTAATTCTCCTTTTTTTTGGCTCAATACTATGTTTATTCATGTTAAAATTAGAACATATAGAATAAAGAATTTAAAGTTTTTATTACTGTATTGTCGTTTTTGTTTACCCCACACCCCACCGCACCTATTTAATTCTAATCTCAATTTAATAATTTAATATTCCTCCTCAAAAAAGATCTCAAAACAATTTAAAAATAATGACTATAACTAATAGGAAAATTCATGTAATAATCTTAAGTATTACAAATAAACTCCAATATAGTAGGGGGTACATGTCATTTCTAAATCTATTCTAAAATTCTACACGGAGTATTGTAGCTGAATGATTAGATTTTTACAAATTGTAAGTTTTGGGTTCGTTAAAGAACTATTAGAGCTACAATTTAAAAATATTTTTACAAGATACAGAGTGTCCCAATTAAACAAGTTATTGCTGTTTAAAGCTAGTAATTATTTAAAATAAAGTTTATTTATTTTGTTTAGACACTTTGTAAAGTAGTATAATTTTTATTATTGCAACACAAAATTTAGTAAATACAAAAACTTCAATACAATATTTGGTTTTAAAAACTTAAATGCGCCTAGAGAAATAAAGCATTAAAATCTCGATTAAAATTGTTACTGTATTTTGACAAAAACTTAAATATATCAAAAACGGTAAGATTAAAATGCGGTAAACCTTAATCAAATTTACCTTTGCTTTAATGGTAGAAAATAAAAATATAATAATATACTATTTAAAAAAATACAACTTTGATATTTTTTATTTATTTAGGACACTCTGTAAAAATATTTTTAAACTGTAGCTCTAATAGTCCTTCAACGAACCCAACACTTACAATTTGTAAAAATCTAATCGTTTAGCTACAATACTCCTTATCGTATGTGGTAAATAACCCTGTATATATATACACACAACCAAACTTATATTGAAAAAAAAAATCATCTATTATTTTTCATAATTTTCAAGACGTATGAAAAGTTTTTGTTTGTGAATAAAACGCAGTCCTTACCAATGCCTTTTAATGAAAAATAATCCATATAGCAATAAAAAAATGAATAAGTTCCCAAAATAAAAACAATGGTATTTTTTTGGTTTCTGAAACGAAATTAAGATTTAAATTTTTAATGGCCAAAAAACAAAAACAAAAAGAAAATTGATAATTTTAATAATCCTTGTTGCCACATATAGCCCTTAGGCGCTGACATGCTTCTTACTAAATTATCAACGTTGTCTTGGGGTATGTTTTCCATTCTGCTAATGCTGCATCAATAAGCTGTGCGAGATTTCCTGGATTGTTTCGACGAGCTCTAACCCTTTTTTGAGCTGGTCTCACAAGTGTTCGATAGGGTTTAGATCTGGTGAACATGCAGGCCAGTCCAAAACTATGACACCTTTCGTTTCAAGACATTCTCTAGTCACTCTGCTGGTATGGAGAGGTGGACTATCGTGCACGAAGTTAAAATTCTCTCCAATTGCAGCTCTCCAAAGACTAACGATTGGTTCTAGCACTAAATCAACATAACTCCGACCCGTTAAGGTTTATTGAAGTGGTAACAATGGAGTTTTTGCTCCCAGCATAATACCTCCCCAGAACATTACAGTTCCTCCTTTATATCTTGATACAGATTTGGTAGCCTGGAGTCTCGCTCGTCTTCCTGGAGCTCTGAAAACCCGAATTCGATGGTCATCTGATCTTAGGCCAATTCTGGTCTCATCCGAAAAAAGAACATTTTCCCAATTCTGAGTTGTCCAGTTTTGATGTTGAAGACATCAATTTAGCCGGTCAATACTCCTACTCTAAAACCCTCGAGCACGAAGCCTTTTTCTTATGGTTTCAACTGAAACGTTCATGCGGCGACAAGAAGTTGTCTATGTAGCTCTGGACGAGAAACATTGGGATTTCTTCTAGCAATTTGGCACACAAGGCGGTCATGTTGTTCAGTTGTGACTCTTTGACGACTTTGTCTGGGCCTGTCCTTGAGCGTTCCTTATTCCAAGTACTTCGACCTCGCATATGTTTTCGATACAACACCCTGGGTAACGCCTACTATCTCTGTTACGTATCTTTGGAGCATTCCTTCTTCAATGAGAGCAATAATTCTTCCCCTCTATACCTCTGTTAAACCAACATAAGGCATTTTTTTAGATCGAATGAAAATTGCCGGACAATCGTGATTTTATTACTGAACAAAATTCAAAAGAAAATAAATCGCAGCAGTCGTTTATTCTTAAGTCCCATACTCACACTTCGCTCCTTCGTCCCTTCCTCGCGTTACGTCCTCGCCTTACTTCCTCGCGTTACTTCGTCCCTTCGCTTCCTTCCTTCGTCCATTCGATGCTTGGAAATTAGTCGATTATGCAACAACACACCACAAAATATTTTTAATATAGCAGAGCTACATGTTTATTACGAAATATCTAGTAACCTCTAAATTTTTTATTATAAAACGGCAATTCTTTGTCGTGTCAAAAATAAAAATTGAATTTTAATAATATAATTTTTTTTAATAAATCCGAATATTTCAGTATCATATACAAGGTATATCAGTATGAATGTACACGGCCAGTCAACAATAGAGTAAAGTTTATTATGTCATTTATATCGAAACTATGAAATATGACATACTAATTAAACGTTGATGCCAATCCCCATTTCTTCAGGTATTTTTGTAAAGGAATCATACACACTATTTCTATTTTTTTATTTTTGTCGCTACGATTACATAAATATGGACATGTATTTCTTCGCAAATATGAATACAATATTGTCTTTTCCTTCCATTTTTAAGACTATTGTGTGTGATATCTATTTTTATATCGACTGGCGATTGCTAGATGTACAGGGTGTCCCATTTTTGTGTGTTTTATGGGGTTTCTAGTTTATGAGTAGAGATATAAAGATGCCGTTTTCACATCATTGTTCTACTTATTATGAAGCTAAATATGCTACACACAGATTTATTCTAGCCTCCTTAGTTCAAATGTATTTCTTATTTCTTTCTTTTATACTTTTTATTTTTTAATTAGTAGAAATTTTTGCATTGTTTGATAACCTTTGTATGTCGATAATTTTATAACTTACCAAAAAGGTGAAAAGGGTCAGTGATGGGCGGTGGGTAAGTACCCAATTTGTAGATAAATAAAATCTGAGTATATATGTATATACCTGTACATTTAGATGAACATCCTAATTTTATAAAAGGTATTTCCGACGACCGCATAGTAAATACGCGATATAATACCGGGAACAGGAATATACCAATATATAATAGGAATATTGTAGATATATTCCCGATATTACTTGTATATTTCTGGTATTATACCTGATATTTACTATGCGGTCATTGGAAAAAAAACAGTACCAGTACCCTGGTATAATACCAGTAATATCAAGAATACAAGTATATCTACAATATTCCTTATATATTATTGGTATATTTCTATTCCCGGTATTATACCTACCGGGTATTTAGTATGCGGTCGTCGGAAACTCCTTTTATAAAAAATTAGACTGTTCATCTAAATGTACAGGTATATACCGGATACCCTAATTTTGTTTTTTTCTACCTATTGAGTACTTACCCACCGCCCGTGTCTCGTTTTTCAGGTAGAATGCAGCGACGAAACTAGTTCTTCGTTGGGAGCTGTCTATTTCGAAAAATGACTCAAACTTATGTTCTTTTTTTTAAACAGTACACTCCATATATTATTTTTTATTTTATTTGCCTTGTTATGAGCTTTCTAAAATTATAATCAGTGGCGGATACAGAGGGGGGGCTCATGGGGCCCGAGCCCCCCCTAAAATCTGTATATTTTGTTAAATATTAAGCTTTTGGGTTAAAAATGGCGCCCTAAATAGCATATTCTACATTACTTTTTATTTGGGCCCCCCCCCTAAAATAAATTCCTGTATCCGCCCCTGATTATAATATGTATACTCTAGGTATACTTATTTATTTAGGTACTGCTAAACTGCTAAACGGCTCTTATTTTAGAGTTATATTATAACTATAAATAAAAATTAGCGTGGAATAGCCAATAACCCACATTTTACGTCGAATAAATTAGTTGATTGTTTTGATTACCTAATTTAAACCGACCGACTATGTAATAAAGTTAAATAATGCATTTTTACTCCGTTTATGAAAATATGTAAGTACCTATTTTAGAAAGCCCGTAACAAGGAAAATAAAATAATATACAAAATATCGACAGATTCTAACGAAGAACTATTTACGTCACTGCATTGTACGTGAAAAACTGTACAGAACACCGTTTTCACCTTATCGATAAGTTATAAGATAATCGAGATACAAAGGGAATCGAAAAATGCAATAATTTCAAATTCGCCCTGTATATTAGAAAGTAAGAGAGCTAGGACATATCTGTATGTAGCATCTTTAGTTTCATAAAAAAGTAACATCGTAATGTGAAAACCGCATCTTTGTAGCTCGACTCATAAACGAGAAACCCTGCAAAACACACGAAAATGGGACACCCTGTACAGACGTACTGCTAAATCAAGAAATCAACTACGAATGAAATCCAAGATCGATTTATATATTTTATATATTTTAATATTTTTTGTGTTCGTGATAATTCCTTTGCTACTTCCTCCAAAAACCGACAGTACGGGGAAGGAGCGTTTCGAGGAAGTAAACGGACGAAGGAACGTTTTGACGAAGGAACGAAGAAACACACAGTCGCATAAATCGACATTTTCCCATAGTAAATATATGATTTTTGGATGAAGGGACGCGAGGAAGGAACGAAGTGAAGTAGCGAAGTGTGAGTATGGGGCTTTATTATCATGTTTATTTATAACAAAAAGCCTTATTTTAAAATTGTATACCAATTTTTTTCCTTGCAAGAAATTTAGTCGGAAATAAAGTGTGATTCCATATAAGTTTGCTTGTGTGTATTCTAAATCTTAATCTATGTTATTTTTTTTAAATATGTAAAATAAGTTATTTTACTTTGAAAATTATAAAAATATATATTTTTTGTTCAAATTTTGACAATCACTGGGTAAT